ACTGCTGGACAAAGGCCTCCCCCAAGGATTTCCATAACGATCGGTCCTGCGCTACCCGCATTCAGACTCCTCCCGCGATCGTCGGTCCATCTAGTGAAAGGCCTGCCCATGCTACGTCTTCCGGCCCGTGGTCGCCACTGGAGAACTTTTCTGTTCTGCCCCAACGGCCATCGTCTCTACCAGCTATGTGCCCCTATGTGTGTTTATAGCCTATGTTCAGAAGAAAAAAATAAGGATTCTTATGGTCAAAGAATTTTTCAAATTGATCCAGTAGTTTCAAAAAATATTCCGTTTAAACAAATAATCAATTACATGTTTCCTCTTTATAATATTTGTATAGAAAATAGACTAAGAGCTAGTGAACGCCAGACCTACATCATTTTATAAAAGCTGAAAGTTTGTCAGCGTATGCTCCCAATATATCTCCTTGGCAGGGAACCCGTTTTTTATGACCCAAACTTCATGATTCACCAACATTCTATCCTATATTGGGAGCATACGCTGACAAACTTTCAGCTTTTATAAAATGACGTAGATCTGGCGTTCACCAGCTCTTAGTCTAAAAATAATAAAAGTAAAATATTCAGCTACTGGTTCTTAAAAAGTCAATTTGAATTTTGAATCACGAATGATCCAGTCAACGTTGTAACTTTGACAAAGCAGCGACAATGCTAACAACACTGAAAATATAAACAATGGAGGATTACCATATGAGTGTCATAGTGTTAACTCATGGCTTGTGAAGTCACCGACTATTGTTGTGGGGTCGGGGCACACGACTAGTCGACGTTTGTGTTGTTTTTTAAAGTGTTTGTAAAATAAAATGAAGGAACGCCAACAGATTTTGTCAGTAGAAATATTTTACTTATTACCAAAATGTTGTACGAACTTCTATGTTCTTCTGATTAATTTCGTTGCGGGTCCAATGACAGTTTAACTTTTCCTGGGACAAACTTCTCACTGGGTGGGTTATTGGCGGTCAAGCTGTAGATCCTGGCTACACAGGAGTTGCAGTGGTGGGAACGAGAGGTGGGATTATTCCCGTCCGTAACACAAAATAGAAATGCAACTCTACATTAATTTGTAGAAAGATTTAGCTAGGCTAAAATTTAGTATTCTAGAACAATATTGTAGGTACATAGGCATTATCTCTTTTTTATTGTCTCTCTCACTTACATCTATACAATGGGAGTGAGAGAGAACAATCAACTCGAATAAATCGATAATGCAAAACAATTCGAGTTTCTAAAGTAAGCGAGTCGCTTCTGTTTTATATTGCCAATTTCCAACTACCTACACTTTAGGTACCTACACGAAAATTTCTTAGAAGGTGTCTCTCTCTCCAAAATTAAACCTCAATTACTTATATAGAGTCAATCAAAAATAGTGTATACTTTTTTGTCAGCCGTTTGGAGTAGTGGTTCAGAACGGACTACTATGCCGAGAGGTCCCGGGTTCGATTCCCGGCCGGGCAGAAATTAAAATGATGAATTTTACGGGTCTGGGTGTTTTCTATGTAGGTATAATATTATGTATGTTTTAAAAAAAAGTATTTAAGTATGTTCATATCTGTTGTCTATAATATATAGTTTGGGACTAGTGTCGCAGTGTAAAATGTCCAAGGATATTACTCGTATTTATTACTAACGGCCGCCCGCGACTTTTTACCCCCTTCATCTATCTTACGTGGTTTGGATTTTTTGATACAAATGTTTTTTCCCGCTAACTCCCGTTTCCGTGGGAAATTTAAATATCCAGTTGAACTAAGCTTTAAGTTAACTAAGGTATGCATGCCAAATTTCAAGCGTCTATCTTAAGCGGTTTAGATTTTTCATACAAAAGGATTTTCCCGCTAATTCCCGTTCCCGTGGGAATTCCTAAGTATACTATAACCTGTCCAGGAGTATAAAGAATAATTGTACCAAGTTTCGTTAAAATCCGTTGAGTAGTTTTTGTTTCTATAGGGAACATACAGACAGACAAAAATTTTCCTCATTGCATTTTTAGCATCAGTATCGATCACTAATCACCCCCTGATAGTTATTTTGATATACAGAATATATTTCATGTACAGAATTGACCTCTCTACAGATTTATTATAAGTATAGATTGTATTATGTATTCCTTATTTCTCATTTGTACCACAAAAGGTGACTATCATCCCATCAGTAGCAACAACTATACAACACAACATAAATGTTGTGGCGGACATTAGCTCTAGGGAGCTCTGATTACTAAATCACACCGGAAAGCGCAGCGTAGGACGTCACACAAGGTTGACCGACGACCTTATACAGTTAGCGGGAAGGCGCTGGATGCAGGCCGCCACCAACCGGCCATCGTGGAAGTCATTGGGGGAGGCCTATGTTCAGCAGTTTTATTGGGATATATTTTCATAGGCAAATTTGATCCTTCCCAAAAATGTGAAACTGCGAAATTCAAATTTTCTTACATTGATTGCAAGTCAGTGTCAGGTTGTATGTTAAAAAAATCTATCAGAGATAATAATGATAAATATTGATGATGCATAAGATTATGATTATAATGTACACAAGATTCATAATTTGTAACTGCGTGAAACATTTTTGATCAACATTAAGTACATACCCTGACACACTGACTTGCAAACAAAGTAAGAAAATTTGAACATTGAAAATCGCGCCTACCTCAACGCATTCACCTTTCATCCTTTTAAAATGGCCCGGAATAATTCTGTCTACATTTCCAAGTACCATCTGCCGATCTATGTTTTTCTTAAAATAAATGGGTAAAATGTTTTGGCTAACATGGCATCCCTAAATTCACTCACACTATAGACAAACGCCAAAATTTTGCGTCACAGTTTTGTTGTAGCGCGAGTTCCGTCCGCCTTTTTTTATAGGTCCATGACTGTAACGGTTATTTAATTTGATTCTCTAATTATCTGTCAGCAGTACTAATTAGGTTTCATTTTTTAAACATAAAGAAAAGTCGTTTTTGTTTCACTTACATTAAAATTACCTATATGTGAAATTCTTTCACTTACTGCATTTTTAAAGACTTAAGTTAGTGTAAAATTTTAATTACATAAAAAGAAAATCTACAATATGACTGACGGATTAGCAAGCTGAAGTGGCAATGGGCAGGGCACATAGTACGCAGAACTGACTGCCGATGGGGCAGCAAGGTTCTGGAGTGGAGGCCGCGTACCGGAAAACGCAGCGTGAGACGTCCACCGTCAAGGTGGAAGCGCTGGATGCAGGCCGCTACCAATCGATCAACGTGGAAAGCATTAGGGGAGGCCTATGTTCAGCAGTGGACGTCCTATGGCTGAAATGATGATGATGATGATGATAATATGACTAATCTAAAGAGTTTGTTTGCTTGAAAGTGCTAATTTCAGGATCTACTGGTCCGATTTGAAAAAATATTTTTGTGTTGGATAGCCCATTTATCGAGGAAGGCTTCAGGCTATATAACATCACCCTATAAATAAAATTATTTTCTTTCTTTCTTTCTTTCTTTCTATAGCCAATAGGGGCGGAGCAGTAAAGAAATATGTTGAATAAACGGTAAATATTATTCAAACTATTTTCACGCGTACGAAGTCGCGGGTATAACTATTGTTGTATTATAACATCCTCTAAAATTTATGAATAATTTATTACATTATCAATAGTCTAATATTTGATTCTCTAATTAGTATAGTTAATTATCTAATTAGTTTAGTTAATATTATTACATCTCAATAAAACATAGTTACTAAAAAAAATCCTTTCTTGTGTCATGTTCTTGCTCTATAATTGATTACCTAGAGACAAAAAAAAATGGCTAGAGTTCAGACTTAATGCTATGTATTGTTATAATGTGTCAAATGTATTTTTTAAGTTAGTTCACACACAAAAAAAGCGGTAGGTACAAAAAATCGAATTTAATGCCATGTGGCATTCTCTCACAGCTAACCTTAGGCAAAACAGATTATCTATAGCTGTGTATTATATTATCTACACTAATATTATAAAGAGGAAAACTTTGTTTGTTTGTTTGTTTGTTTGTTTAGTTGTAATGGATAGATAGGTTCAAAAACTACTGGACCGATTTTAAAAAGTCTTTCACCATTCGAAAGCTACATTACTCACGAGTAACATAGTAATAAATAAAGTGCTTCGAAGAACAATTTCAGTGGATGGTACTCTACACCATAGTCGTTATGGTCTTAAATAATTAATTAAATAGATAAATAGAGTTCTTAAAAAACAATGTTAGAGAATAGAAACTCTACGCTTTTGCCTTTACTGTCTTAAATAAATAATTAAATAGATAAATAGAGTGCTCCGAAGAACAATGTAGAGATTGAAACTCTACGCTTTTGTCGTTACTCTTTTAACCCAATTGCGAACGCAAACCATACCATTAACCGGCAGTAAACACCAACAATACAATAAAATGTCCGAAAGTGATAAAACAACGAAAATAACTACCAGTGGATAAACTGGTAGCAATTTGGGGCACTATTTCAGCCAATCAATTAATATTCGATTCTTCCAAATTACTTAATTGCTCGAAAAAGTCGAATAACCATTCAAACCGATTATTCGCACGCCTAATCTTGTCTTAAGAATAATTGCTTACAAACAACTTAATGTTGTCCCCGTAAAAATGGCCCGAACCTCAATAATTCATCAAACTCGCGTCTGTCTATCAATATAATAATTCTGTCAAACTTTAATTGAAATTCCGGACTTAAAGCTGTATTATTGATACATTACGAGGCCGCAAAGAGCCGTGCCGTCAATTTACAACTGGATTACAAATCTGTGGACCCACTAAACACACAATCGGGCTAAATCAATTGTGGTCGTGCTGTCCCTTTCTGGCAACGTACTAGTTTATATGCTAGAGCGAGAGAGGTGTCGTTTGACGGTGCGGTTAAAGTTGCCGCCTACAGAAAGGAGGGTAGGGAAAGAGGTAATTTGTTTGGGGGCGTGTCTAGCAGGGCGCGATGCGGCCAGTCGATCGGCCGCAGCCGTGGCGAACGCAGTCTCGTGCGCTGACGTTTCAATTAGTGACAGCTGACGCGACGACAGATTAAGAAATCATCAGCTCAATAAATATTAATATATTTAAAGCGCATACAGATAATCGACGCGGACGCAAAGACATGTTTTCATGAATTTTAACGTGAATTGAAACTGAGTGTGTTAGTTTTTACGGACGATTCAGTGATGGCTTTCGAAGACCGGTGCAGTCCGAACCAGGCGAACAGCCCAGGCCCAGTGGCAGGGAGAGTGCCGCCTCCTCACCCCGAGAATCCGATGAGCTACTGCCCGCCCAGCCAGTATACTTGCACGACGATTGAATCAAGGTACGAGAGAGGATCCCCCAATATGACCATCGTGAAGGTTCAACCGACCTCACCACCTCCCAGTCCGGAACAAAACCAAAGCGAAGAAAACTACCAAAATTATTACAGACCTGAGACTCCGGACGTCAAGCCTCGCATTGCGGACGACAGATTCGACCCGGAGCGAATGCGTGCCCAACAACAAACCACTCCCATAGCCTTTTCTATAACCAATATCTTGCATCCTGAATTTGGGTTGACAGCTATAAGAAAAACAAGCAAGATCGAAGGTCCGAAACCCGTTGGACCCAACCACAGTATTTTGTACAAACCGTACGATTTATCGAAAGCGCAAACTGATTATCAGAAGTACAGTTTCGATTATTTAAAATCAAAAGAGAGCGAGTTCAATCCTTTACCTCCTTTGGGGGGTTTGAGGCAGACTGTCTCTCAAATTGGGGAGGTGCAGAAAGAGAAGGAGATACCAAAGATAGTGGAACCGCAGAAGAGGCCAGATTCTGCGAGTTCGATCGTTTCTTCGACGTCGAGCGGGGCACCGTCGACTTGTGGGAGCACTGACACCAACAACCAGGGCTCCAACGCGACCCTATGGCCGGCGTGGGTGTATTGCACCAGATACAGTGACCGACCTAGTTCTGGTAAGTCTTTTTTCTTTATTAAATGACTTATAGTAATACAGCAGCAGCTTCTAGCGATGCAGCAGCCGTAACCAGTCATTTTGCGCTATCAATATTGAATTGATATCCTTAACGCAATATTTAGGAGTATTTTTTTCCAATTTGGGACAGTATTGAAATATTTTTTGGAAAAAAAGTGACGTAACCATAAAAAGTAAACTTTATTATGGATATAGACAACAAAAATAGATTAATTGTTATTGAAACTTAATGTAGAGTCAACAACTGAACGTTTTTTTCGGAAGAATATGCGGCTTTTCAGACAGGTATTAAAAGCAGTTCGAAGAATTTTAATCTTTTTTTTAATTTTGATTCTTTTTTACTAGTTTGCGCTCTACCATACAGTTAATGGTTCCGGTTTCGGATCTCATATGGGTCAAATTTTTGTGCAATGATCAATAGTAGGTATTTATATCTGACTCATGTGTCAAACTTCTTAAAATAAGTTCGGTGTCAGGTTAATGAGCCTTAATTAATTAATGCGCAATTTAAACACCTTTTAAGGCGCTTGTTTTGCAAACAGTAATTTTGTTAACGATAATAGTATTTTGAACTTGTTTTGGTAACTACTTTAGTACTTTTGTATTTGTATTTATTTTATTCTTCCGAGTTTCTTGCGCTGCTTCTTCTCAGCACCGGCCCATTTATTGTCGCGAAGCAGTGGTAGGGTTAATACTGGGAGGTGTAAAGGTGCTTTTTAAAAGCCTACTTACTTGCAAAATAAATGAGTTTTATTCTTTTCTTGTCTTTTGTCTACAATAAAGTGAGCTCTATTTTTCTACTACCTGGTAGAACCCGATGCTGTATGATCGAATATTTACTAAAGTAACAACGTAGTTCTTATATCAGGCAAGCTTAGTTGAAGGTCCTTATCTATACTAATATTATAAAGTAGAAAAGTTTGTTTGTTTGCTTAAAAGCGTTAAGCTACTGGGCCGATTGAAAAACTTTTTTTTTGTTGGTGAGCCCATTTAGCCAGGAAGGCTCCACCCCTATAGCCTATAGGGGTGGAGCAGTAAAGAAAAATGTTTCAAAAACGGGAAAATTATTCAAACTATTTTCACGCGTACGAAGTCGCGGGCACAACTAGTTGAAGGATATAATAACTCAATACTATAATTTGATTGCTTCAAAAATCATGTTTTTGAATTTCAATTGCTTTAATATTGATCGATATCAGTCTTTATTATTGGCTAAATTAAGCGATTCGGGCGCATCTTAATAATAAAGCATTTTTTTTATTTAGTCACGAACCAAATTGGCCAATTGAAAGGTTCATACTTACGACGTTTCATTATTTGGATGTTATTGAATTGCCCGTTGTTAAAATTTTAACTCAAAGTTTTTGCTTAATAAGATTTCTTAATTCTTTACAATTAACATTTGAGTTGGTAATTATTATAGAAAATCAATTGTTTTGATCCGCCCGTGATGCTCACGCGATCATGAACTAACTACGTACTTTAGACGTTTTTTTAAGCACTTTCATAGGGTTTACATTTCAAGATAGTGGTTCAAATTGCAGACACAAGCCTGCAAAAAATACCCGGCTCAATCAAGATTTTTTGAAACCATTATCATTATAAAAGTTTCGAACTAAGCTTAGTTGTAGTTGTAAATATCAAAGAACAACTTATTGACTTCCAAATTTATTGTAGACGTACACAAACATGCCTCACCCACTTATAAAATCAACAAATTATCCATTACTATACAACATTCAATTTACAAATAGGTACTAATCATTTCCATAGAATAATTCAACAACGGGTCGACACCTTTGACCTTTTAACGCATTGACGCACTTGAAATACAGATTATAATAATTCTTTTTCACTTGTCTGTGGTATTGTTTTTCTTAAACGTTTTTTTTTTAACTGTTTTTTAGGTTAAAGTAATGAAAATTCTAATAAGTTATTTTTTCTTGTAAGAATTTTAAACTAATAAGAAACTATCATTTTGTGGTACAAAAATAATGCCTACACTTATAAAAGTGAATTTTTGTGTTGAAAAATAGTTTTTTACGGTCAAAGGTGCAAGATATAAATTAAAAATGATAAAATATGCACTGACACTAAAATGCTTTAAAAACCAATCATAGCAATGTCATATTTTTCTTGTTTTTAAATTTTTTTTTGCTTTACTTCAAAATAACTGTATAATTTCTTATTGTATGTTAATTCGTGACAAATTTCTATATTTTAAACACTTTTAATTTGCTTGTTAATTAATAATGAGCAGGTATGGGTAAACATGCTTAGGTATTTAGTATGTTTATGTAATTAGTTAATTACGCATTCATAGAATGTTTGGTTTCGTAATTTAAATGGATAGGTATGAACTGCAACTTAATAGAGCTTTTAATAATATTTTCATTAAAGCGCCATATTGACTAAGCTAACGTTAAGCTTTAAAATATGTAATTAGCAAAAATTGCTATTAAAACATAGTAAAAATATCGCAAAATAAAAAATAAAAGAAAAAATCCACACTCCAAAATAAAAAACAATGTCCTCGTGAAAAATATGAAATTTATAGATAAAGAAATTGTTAAAAATCTAGATGCATTTTTTTACGAAATATTAGTTGTTGTTTTGGTTAAATCTGAGAAAAAGATGTAAAACATTTTACATTTAAGTTTTATTGTACAGTAAAGTAAAGTAAAGTAAAGTAAGAAGAATGTAGGTTGTATTTGCCTGTCTCTAGGTCTACCTACCTACCTTTACTTTCGATGTAGGTATTTGCTTAATAACTAAAATGTTATTTTAAACACCTGTTCGTCACCACATAATGTACAATGATTGTTTTTCATCTGAACAAGGTCGAAAAATAATGATTAGTGCTTACAATGATTAGCATAAAATGGAAATTGACGGTGTCCCAACATTTTCCGGCTGGTTGAATGCAAATTTGTGACATTACTCGAGTTTTTTTAAGTTAAGAAACCAAAGTACAGTTTTTTTTCAGTTACGACTATATTTACGTCATTCACGCAGTTTCGTAAAAAATGTGATTGGTTGATTTCATATTTTTCAATAAAATAAAATCTCCACTGGTACATTTGAGGCTTCGAAAATGACTAAAGACAACTTATGACTAGGAAATTTTATTTTATTTTTTTTAATTTTATTTATTAGGACAACGAACAAGACAAACACGCATACATGAAATTACTATAACTACTACTAAATACTAATACTAATACTACTAAATATAAATATACTACATACTAAGTTATGACTAGACTTAAATAATGTCTTACATATTGCACACTAAGATAAATAGTAGCACAACTCAAAATACTTATTTTTCAGGAACACCAAGTAAAAAAAGTATTGTGATATTTTTTGACGCAGATTATGGTTATTGCAATAACTCTATTTTTTTATTATTTCGAGTTGTGCCAGTCTTTTTCTAGGTGTGCGATATAAAAACCACCAATTAGTCTTTTCTGATATCCAATATCGTGTCCTACGATCACTTAGCCGCTGTCATCCGACGCAAAATTAACTTTTTTTTTATACAAACAGGCCTTGCATAACTGCAGAACAGGTTGCCTCGTTAAGATTATGATTATAGTAGTTATACACTAAATTGGTGGCTAGGTGATATTTCTCGGAGTGCCATTAAGACCGCATATCTTGAGTTTAATCACTTGTTAAACCGACTTTAAGGAGGCTGCGAGGGAATTGAAACTTTTTTGACGTTTAATCGAACTGTCGTATGACAATTACAAATATGACAGCTCGGAAATGTTATTTGCGTTGAATTGATGGTGATTGTTGGTATCTTTTGTGGCAGATAGTTGATGGTTAAATTGTACAGTCGACAGTACATTTTATTGCAAAATAACACCTATTACAAACTATGTAAGGTGCCAGTTTTTTTTAGCTTGATGTATTTTGCTAGCTGTACATTGCTCAAGCAATTAATATCAACTACAACTAGCGTTGTCAAGTCGCTGATTTCTAACGTTTTTATAGTTAGGTCTTTTTACTTTAAATAATAATACTTAAATAACGGATTCGTTATTTTACTTCCACTTAAGCTTTTCTTATTAGAAATGACACTCTAATAAGATAGAATACTCTAATAAGGTTCAAAAAGTTGCAATTTTTTCTCTTAATAAGTTCTTCAGTACCTGAGTTATGGGAGCGGCACGGGAGGGGTGGTGACGTCATTATGACGTAAGAGCATACAAATCTGAAGTCTCACTGACGTTTGACGTTTCAAAAACACTCTTCCGTGCCGTTCTCATACCTCAAGCACAGGGTGACACACGAACCAATCACAGGAGCTCTATTCAACGCTGTGCGTTCGATTTGCTGCTTCACTTAAGCAAGCATCGTTTGTGAATACGGGCGTTATTGTAGGTTTACAAATAGTATAAAAAATGCAAAAAAATTTAAACAACAATCACCCGACAATTTCAGTTCCATTGTTAGATTGCATAACGTGAAAGACTCCCTGTCGCCGCGCGTCTGTCACGGTGACAGCTGTCACAGTTGTCAGCGCCGCCATCTTGTAATTCGAACGCATTTGCCGGCGTTTTTGTTGTCGGTTGTCATGTTGAGTTGGTACGTTTTTGCTGTTATTTTGCGACAATTTTGAGGACTTTATGATGTGAATTGTGTTGGTATTGTCTGTGTTTTAGATTATGAGCAGTGAAGAGCAGTTTTTTTTATGCATAACAAGGCAGGTATTTGACTACAATCGCACTTGATGTTAAGTGGGATGCAGTCTAGGATGGTACATATCTGCCCTGTAAGTGCCTTCACTCTCGCCTTGAAAAGACCCGGATTATAGTCTTCGGGAAAGACAGCAGCAGGCAGCGAATTCCAGTTTAAAGTTACAGAAAGTCATATCTTTTTTTATTCAAAAATGATTAGGTCTATTCTCTCCATGGGTTGTCTGGGAGAGATCGCTTCCTAGCGATAAGACAGTCCACTCTCTTAGCTTTT